CAATCAAAAGATTTTAAACTACTCTGCTAGCTAGCACGGTAGACTGGACAGATTCTGTAAATGAAATGTTTTGCACCTGTATTACTGAGCAAACAAGCAAAAGTGCAATCCCACAATTCAGCCAGACAATAGAAGTATTGTTGGAAAAGGAACTCTATGATTGCGCAAAGTTGACCCCAGACTGAGTGTCTATAGCAACAACAGTTGATCAAAAGCAGCCTGCAAACTCAAATAACATCATTTCTGAAAAAGAAAAGCTGTAATTCAGTTTGGGGCAATTTGAAATGTTTTTATTCCTATTATTGGACAAAAGGGCAGTGTTCTATATTGAATTAGGCCATCCTGCGTGAAGGGCAACAAAGGGTCAGTGTTATTTATACCTTCCTAGATTTTGAAAACTAAGATCCCTAAAATTTAGGTTTTTATATTATCAAGTACAGGTGGATCCTTTTTATCATTACAATTTAATCCAGGAGTTTTTGATTTTCCAGTTCTTCAGAAATTATACTTTTTTGTTGACAAGTGATTAAATTGAACAGTTAAATTACATTAAATAAATCAAATAATTCTAAGAATGATACAGCAGCTGAGGTGGGGGGACAAAGTCATCTGTTAAAAGCCATTTACTACATGATGGGACCCAATTTTATTCTGCTTTGAACAGGTTTTAAATGCCAAGTTTGCATCAGGAAGGACTCCCTCCCTTGCGTCTAGCCCAGAGGTGGATTCCTACCAGTTCGGATCAGTTTGGCTGAACTGATAGTAGTTTTCTGGCCAGGGTTAATGGAACCAGCAGTGACCATAGTCTGTGAAGCCCCCGAACCAGATCCCTGGTCCCTTCTCCTGTCGCTGGCATTTTTCTGCGCATGCACAGAACAGTTTTCAGTAAACTGCGCATGCGCAGCAACATGTGCTGGGTGCACGTTCAAGCAACGTGTGAGCAAAACGCCCTCTCTCAGCCAACCAGTAGTAAACCGGCTAGGAACCCACCACTGCTCTAGCCACATCATGTGGCAACCTCTTTCTTCTTATATGCTCTCCAAGGGACAGCTCTAATAGGAGTCAAAATAGTCCGTTTTCACAATATTGTATGGCTTACTTAGCTTCAACGTACAATTCAAGCAATTTTATGTGCATTAACTTCTCAGAATTATAGTTAACCTTGATATTAACTTTTCTTTATCTGTAATGGGTTAAGTTGACTACCTTATTTTAGTGTTAGTAAGACAATAGCAGAGTTGGAAGGGACCTTGGAGGTCTTCTAGTCCAACCCCCTGCCTAGGCAGGAAACCCTACACCATTTGAGACAAATGGCTATCCAACATCTTCTTAAAGACTTCCAGTGTTGGGGAATTCACAACTTCTGGAGGCAAGCTGTTCCACTGATTAATTGTTCTAA